AACGTTACGATCATCACGGCGAAGCTTTCTGTTCTTCGAACAGAAGATTATTCCTCAAATTGAACAACTGGACAAACGTTGCGAGAAAATGAGAAAAAGATAAACGTAGCGAATTTACAAACAAACAGTAATTAATTCATTTCCAATTATCAATTATGTATTTCCTTTCGTTCGAGTCGAATTTTTCAACGAACCGTCTTCTTTAACCGTGCTACCCAACCGTGCCCGTACCCCGTTGCAAATATCTTTGCAGCGCTAAAATTACACGGGCAACGTACGAATTTCAATCGACGTCACAACGATCGCAAACGGTGGATTAAAGATTTAAAGGAGATTATCTGGCGGAACGATAGAGTGATTCAAATGAATCGAGAGAGAGAGAGAGAGAGAGAGAGAGAGGGGGGGGGAGGCTAGGAGAGAGTAGGTCTTAGGTCCTAGAAACGTTGGAGTTTCTTCACTCGAGTATCACTCAACTTGTGTACCTCTTCACTGGTTAACCTCCACTTGTTACGTTCTTCCTTCTTCTTTCTTCTCTGTCTTCTCTTCTTTCGAAATTGGTCGCGACAACGCGGCACGATCTCGCGCAACAAATCGAAAACGGAAAACCTCTTTTCCTTCTTTGAGAAAGAAATCGTGGTAATAAATGTGTTTAAAGGAAAGTCGCCGCTGCTGAAGCGACGGTGACTTTCTTTCGTCACTTTAGTTGGAAAGCTAAAGCTACAGAGAGAGGCGAATTTGCTTCTCGTCTCTCTCTCTCTCTCTCTCTCTCTCTCTCTGTAGAGACAAGTGAAGCTTGATTATCCAACGATCCAACGAGGTGGGGCAGGGGTAACTGAAATAGGTCAGAGGTGTGCGTAAAAGTTCGAAGGTTCGTACGAATTGGCAGGCGCCGACGAGTATAAGTCTCTGCCTATACGATCGACCTTGGAATGCGTGCGCGACCAACCCTACGCCTAAATCCTCGCAATTTCCCCTAAACGTCAAGGTCTCGGCCGCCTCGACGCTCCGCGGCCTCCGTTGCTCCGCCTTCTTCGATTGCCGCTAGCTTTACCCTTATATACCTCAAGTGCCATCCTGTGTACGTAGCCCCACACACACGCTTACTCCCGCCACATTTCCCTTAAATAGAATCGAGTTCAATAGGACGAGCGTTAGCACGCTCGTCCAACCTTTACGCTTTCATTGAAAAGGGCAACAAAAAAAAGGAAAAAAAAAAAAAAAAAAGGAAGAAAGAGTCGTAGCAGACTGTGTAGTAGGCTGAAAAGATCGATCGGAGAGAAAGAACAAGAGAAAGAACGAAGAGGCTGCGCCGTGGCTGTTGGACAGAGGCTGGTGGAGAACAAAAGTGCCACAGGAAATAAAGGGCCTGGCTAACCGTGCATCAATGACACGCAGAAAGATAAATATTCGGACTGTGCGCCTGCTCGGGAGATCATCGAGCACT